AACAGGAACACATTCAATTGGTAGGTAGATAAACCCTTTGTTCCTTTTTCCTTTCTTGTTCCACTTCTCTGCATGAAGACTTCAATTTGTTGCTTATCAATTATCGGCATGTTATCAAGAAACACAGAAAACTTAAAAGAACTATCGAATTCACCAAAGAATTTCAACTTTCATCGGTTACAAAACATTTATCAATCAAAAATAAAGATTTCTAAAAAAAAGGGAAAATGGAACTGAGAAAAAATTGTATATAACTATAAACACATGGACCCAGAAAGCAAGTATAAATTCCAGAAAAGAAAACAAAAATCAAACCCCAAATGAACAAAATTCCCAGCTAACACAAGAATAAATAAATATATCCAAGTGCATGCAATTCACGATAGTCAGAAAAAGAAGCAAAAATGTAAAGATAAAGCAAAAACGAGAAGAAGATTCTATTGGGATTAGAGAATTTTCTACCAATGAAAGCGACGACTGGAAATAACCATAGAAATCCAGCTGCGAGTATGAGACCCTTCTGAGAGACCTGGGGGTGATAGAAGAACAGTTAAGTCAATGCGTTTCTTTTCTTGTTTTCTTTTTCTGTTGGGTTTATTTCTTTATTTATATATTTATTCATTTATTTTTTTCATTTTTTTGATTTGCAAATTAGTGTGCATATACTATGCGATGTGGTAACGAGTGTGGTCTGATATCAAAATTTATTCCAAATAAATATTTTAGTTGCATCACAATATAGTTTTCAATCAATTTTTTATTTTTAATTATTTTTTATTTCACATATATTATATTTTAAAAAGTATAATAGTAATTATTTTAATTAAAATTTTAAATAATTTACTATCCAAACACAGTGATCAATATAATTGTTCTCTATTTTTCAAAAAAAAAAAGTGGATACATACTAAATATTGAAATGGGAAAAAAGTCCCAATGGCTCTCAAACTTTTAACTACATAAGGTTTTAGCCCTTCAATATTAGGAGTAAACTTTTGGCCATCGATCTATCAATAGTGTAAATTGTCGGGCCTTCTATGAATTCCAGCCGTTTATGTGCGACGAAAATGAGGACATTTTTGTCTGTTCAGGAATATTAATCTAATATCCAAAGTATCAATTGACACCTCAACCAAAATGAACATTAACTCACAAATATACACTGGAAAAAACTCCAGAAATCCCATTTTTCCCATTCTCTTTTTAATGTTTTCACACAATTTAGTGGATCTGAAACCAAACCTTATGTACCTCCTCCTCTGTGTGCTATTCTCCATGTGAAATTGAGTGAGAGAGACAGATAGTAATAAGACAAATATTCAGCAATAGAGAGAGGAGGTGGCGATGGATCTATGCAATTCATGCTTTCTTCTTTGTGCTTGCTTTTCTGCTTTCTCATCTTCTGTATCATGCTTCTATCAAAGGATGGGTCTCTTAAGAAAAGGAAAAAGATGAAGGATGGGTTTCTTAAGAAAGTGAAGGATTCCAATCAAGATAATGGAAAGAAGATCAAAGAATCATTAGATTTGGAAACCCACTATGGATGTCATCAAACCCATCAGCTATTGTTCTTCTTTTACTTTGAAGCCACAATGCTTACTACTTTTACCTTCTAGGGGTCACCCTTAAAGAGTTTCATATGGTATAAAATTAATGATTGTAAATATGTTGATTTTATTTGTATTTGTAAGATTCAAAAAACCCATTTGTTGGTTTTATAAGTTATGTACATATCTGTGTTAAAGAGTGACTTTTAGGCTGTAAAAATTTGAAATTTTTGAAATTTCTTAATTTTTTAATTTTGTCCTTTAAATGGGCGTTCTAGGATTTGTTGCATTTGGATAGCATTGTTAAAGTTGAGGAGAAGTTTGATTTTACAGATTTCATTAGAGAAAATGGTTTTATTTTTTAGTAAGAGTTTGAGTTTATTGTCGTTTACTCGATTAATATTTCTATATGGACAAGAATGCCCTCATTTCCGTTACTCATAACGGCTGGAATTCACAAAAGGGTCAACAATTTACACTATTGATAGATCGGGAATCAAAAGTTTCCTCATAATTATTGAAGGGCTAAAACTTTATCTGGTTAAAAGTTGGAGGGACATTGGGACTTTTTTCCCTATTGAAATTGATTTGCGGGTTTGTACTACACTACTACTATTCTACTGTCTCATCGCTAGAATAAGAAATGACATTCTGTGGCCACCAAATTGTTAACCCTAGTATGGAATTCTGGTAGAGTACTTGAAAATGTGTATTTAAATTTAGTTTTTTTTTGTGTTAACTGGGGAAACACCAATATGTGTGCAGCCACCCAGGGGCCCTTTCCAAATTTTGTTTTACTCTGTATATTTCACAACTATTGTCATAATTGAATTTTTGTGGTCAAATTGGACAACTTTCAAACTCCAACTTTTCCAGGTTTCTTAACCTTTATTTTCTTTTAATTGACTGGTTTTGTTTCTATAGTATTCTTAGACTTGATATTTTCGAGTCAAATTGGCATTTTTTGGAACCTTATGTTACATGTGTCTTTTGTAATTTTTTTTTAGGGTAATTTCCTGTGTGTAAGGTTGTTTTTTATGAAAACTTTAAGACTGTTCAAGTTTTTTCTTCTGAGAACAAATGTATTGACATGTTTTGTTGATTATTATTTGGCAGTAGTGAAATTGTTGGAGGGAAATGAACAATGTAATTAGTAGGGTGTATATGGCAAGATGAGGTGCAAAGCCGCATAGGAGATATTGCTTTGTAATTTAACAATGAGGATATGTCTTAGTTCTAATGCTTTATGGAACTTTCTTTTTGATCGGTAATAGAAGAGGTATAAACGTACAAAACAAATCTAAGATTTGTATTAACATTTTAGCTAACAAATGCTCATTGAGAGGGGCCTTGGATGTTAATAGTTTAACAATTAATGATAATTTGGAAAAATATTTAAATATAGAATTGTAATAATTGTGATTGTGTGAGTTAGGTGTAATTTTAAGTCTACTAACAAGTGCCCATTAGAAAAATCCCTCTTTTAATAAAATTATAAATAAAATTCCGAGGCTATTCTTTTATAGTTATAGTTATTCATTTTAGAAGTTTAGTTTATACTTTATTTAACATTGAAAATTGATTAAGAGCTATGAGATTTAGCATTTTTAGTAGAAAAAAATAAACAAATGAATAGTTTGTCAATTGGGAACTAGAGGCAGTCCAAGAGTGCATTTATCGGCAAAGATGAGTTATCAACATATAAGACTAACAGCCGAAGGATGGTTACTGTTCATAAGCTTTTCGTCGTCCTCACGTGCCGAAGGAAGGTCCTCGCGTGCTACTGTATTATTATTTTTCGTCTCGGCTCTTCTCGTCGTCTCGTCTCATCTCATTAATGCACCCACATGCTTTTCCATTTTTTTTCCCTCCTCCGCCTGCTCTGGTTCTTTCTTAATATCTTCCCTTTCACCTCTTTTTCATCTCATCTCATCAATGCACCCGCATGCTTTTCCATTTTTTTATTATTACACGATGGATTTTATCCTTTGGATTTATGGCCTCCGTCCTTTACCTGAGATTTCTTCTCTTCTACCTAGCAATTGGAGGTATCTCATTAATGCACCCACGTGCTTTTCCATTTTTTTTCCCTCCTCCGTCTGCTCTGGTTCTTTCTTAATATCTTCCCTTTCACCTCTTTTCATCTCATCTCATCGATGCACCCGCATGCTTTTCCATTTTTTCGTCCTCCGTCTGCTGTGGTTATGAATGAGTGTGCTGAGAATCTTTTTCTTATTAATTGGAGTAAGGCGTACTACACAATGGATTTTATCCTTTGGATTTATGGCCTCCGTCCTTTACCTGAGATTTCTTCTCTTCTACCCAGCAATTGGAGGTACGATTCCTTGTTCTCCTTCCTATCTCAGTTTTTGGCTCTTCCTTTTAATGATTGTGATATTTTTGTAGGGTTCCTCTCCCAGCTGTTTGCGTTCTTCAACCTTACTCTTTTGTCGGAAATTTCTTCTGTGCTTTTTTCCTTTTTTTTTTGTTGTATTTTCGCTTGCATGCTGAATTTTACAGGTGTTGTTCTTGTCTTTTTATTTTCTAGGCTTCCTCTTCTAGCTATTTGCGTTCCTGCAAAGGTTGATCTTTTGTCGGAATTTTCTTCTGTGCCTTTTCCATTTTTCCCCTCTTTGCCTATTTTACGATTGTTGTTCTTGTCTTTTAATTTTTTTGCGTTATTTTGTTGTTTTCGGGGTAACCTTGTGCATTTGTCTTCCAAATCTGCGTAAAGGTACTGTTTTTTTCCCCTTATTTTTTTTTGTGATCGCCTTTTCGTTTGAGTTGTCTTTTCTTTCTCCTTTGAACCGGTCTTATCTGTGCCTTTTTGTTTTGCAGGAATGGCAACTGCTGCTGCTTCCACTGTTAGTTTTGAGCCCAAGCTTGGTGCCATTCCATGTGAGCCTTTTGACGAATCTTCAGGTTTTTATGTTTTATAGGTTTTGTCTTAGTTGCCTTTGGGTGTGCTTGTCCTATATATTTATCTTATTACTGCTATTGCTTCAGCCGTTGCTGCTGCGCTTAAGCTTCTTCGCATATCAAATGTCTCTGAATCTACACGTGGTTGGATGACCTTGGTTCATGTTGTTGAGGCTGATCGTGTAAAGGTTGCTAGCCATGGATCGATTTCGAAGTCGTTCCGTTATAAGGATTTCTCTCTCCAAACTTTTCTCTTATCTCAATTCTTTGCCGATCCTTTCTCTGTTTCTGTAGTTTCTGCTAGGGTTTTTGTGCGCCACTCTCCCTCTGTTGGTCTGCTGCTCCTCTTTGTTCTCAAAAAAATTTTCTGATCTCTCTTTTCCTTCTTATTATCTTATCTCTTTCTCTTTCCTTTTATTTCCTTCTTTCCTTCTTCATTATCTTATCTCTTTCTCTTTCCTTTTATTGATATTCATATTTGCTTCTATCTTTTTCTTTAATATTATCTCAAGCAGATCTGCATTTTTTTCATTAGAAATACTTAATATAGAGATTGACGGTGAATAAAGCTCCATCGCCATCTTAGTTGGCTATTCCTATACTCAACATTGGTAATTCTATGATTTTACTTCCTTGTGTTTTTTTCTTTTTTTTTTTAATTATTGTAACTGATTTAAACCTTTCTTTAGAATGAAAATGTGTTGCAACTAAAGATGATTAAAGCCCCATGACTACAATCAGCAGCTAGCCATATCAAGCAACATGCTCTACCATCGGTAATCCCTCCTTACTTCCTTTTTTCTTGAAAAAAATTATATTATGGTGATATGCTCGAATTCCCCCTTTTTCTGACATTAAGCAGCATAGAAACAATGCACTTACGGAGTAATAATTTTAAGAAGTAGAAAAGTGGGTTGTTCGATGGACTTTTGAAAAAAATGTTACTGCCGATGATGCTTTGTTTGACGCTTGAATCAACTATTGTGTATGACAAGAAAAAAGGCTGATATTTTAGAGAGAGAGATTTCCCACAAAGAAAAAATGAAATTAAAGTCTGCGCACTCAATTATTTCAAAATTATTATTTATGTACAGTTCACATCTTTTCTATTTCTTGTTCGATATTTGGTAATTTGAGTGGTGTTTGTGTTTTTGTGGAGTCTTCGTTTAACATCCATCACCTTGATTTGAAGGTGACCAAAATTCTTTGTTTGGTTTTTCTATTATAATTATTTGACTGGGGTTTTCTAAGTGTTTGCAGTTCATTTGATTTGAAATTTTGACTTTAATGTTTGAACCATTTGGCACAGATTACATTGTTACTCAATTCCTTATTCTGTATCTTAATTTTCCCAAGTGTTTTTTTGTTCTTTTCCTCCTGCACACATTGTGCTTGTGAGACATTGGCTAGGTTTTACTTGAAAAGAATCTAAAATTAGGCATTTATTATGACATGACAATAATGCTATACGTAGTTCACTTGCTTGAACCCTGACTTCAAGAAAGTTGGATGGTAAAGAATACCTATGTCAGGTGAAGTAATTCTCTTAAAAGCTTTTTATTTGATGCCAATCAAAATGGACTGTTATTTTTATGAATTGATTGAAGCACTTGCAATGTACTTTAATTTCTTTTTACTAAGTTTGCATATGTTTAATTTCATTTTCTATTGATCACATTAGATTAGATAGATAGGCAAATCTAATGTGTCGGTTGGCCTGTGGTGCTTGTTCCCTGTGTTAAATTCTTTTTCTTTTTCTTTGAGTTCATTTTTTTATGTTCATTTGCTTTTTCTTTCTCACCTGATCTGAATGATTGTGGTTTTGTGTGTTTTAAGTTTTATGCCAATTTTGTGTTTCTAAAGTTCAGGAATTCTTGATTTATTGCTATATAAATGTGCCTTGTAGGCTAGCTGTATTGAGACTATGGTAGATGGTGTCCAATTTGCTTGCAGATTTTGGTATTTGGCGTTAGTTTCTTGTGACCCTTTTTTAATCTTTTTTCTTACTGATGTTTGAACCGTGCCTTGATTTTGTTTTTCCTTTTTTTTAATCCAGTAAGATAAGTCTATGATCGTCTTAGAGAGTGCTTTTCAAGAGACATATTTAAACTTCCTCACTATAAGTGTTCACTATGTGCAGGAGAATAACAGCACATGTGGGTGTTATTTACTTATAAGATTAATTACAAAACATGCTTTTTTTTAATTACAAGTTGTTCCAGATTTTCAAACTAAAGTAGCTGCAGTACAACTTTTTCACTTAATTAGTTCATGCTCTAAAGTTTTGGTCTTTTACTAACCAATTTTAGGTTCAATCTAGATAGCCACTCAACCTAATTTTTTGGTTTGTTGAATGCAAGGCCAAGGTATTTGCTCATGTATGCCCAAAATGCAGGTTTCATTTTAGCTAATGAATCTTTAATTCACAGGTCTACAATGTTGCAGGATTACTGAAATTTTGTTATGCCGATGGTTATCATATACATATTAGGAGATGAACACAAGGACTATAATATATAGAGGAACACACAGATCATTTTCTATGGTTGAGGTGATATATTGTTGGTTAAATGCCATTTGTTAGGTTTATTTAAATGCACATACTAGCAAAGAATGTTAGGTTCTTCTATGCCTCAACTCATGCCTTTATTTTGATATTAAGAAATTGTTAATGAATGTGAAGTTTAATGAATCTGATTCAATGCCTGTAGTCTACCAATTTTATAACATTATTTTTGCGTGCATTGAAGGTGCTCTTAGGTGATATCGATATTTTCCAAGCGCCAAAGAGGGTCTAGCCATTTCTTTTCCCATTTTTTTTCTCTGAGTTGGACTTTCAACATATAAGACTTAGAGCCAAAGGGGGTTCTACTGTTCCAACTTTGGTTCATATCTGTGTAGTTATGTTTGGTTGAGCATACACTATATTATTTAATTGAAGTGAAATTCTATTTAAGAATACTGATTATGTATCTGTGTAGTTATGCTTGGTTGAGTATACACACTATAATTCTCCCTATTAACTTAAAAGTTAATCTTAACTTAATATTCTTCAATTTTATTAGTGGTAGGGATGAAATGGTAAGCATTAATGAAATGGCCGATATGGTTCTCAGTTTTGAAGCCATCCATCCACATTGCACTGGGTGTTCAAGATTGTAACTCAAATTACACTCTCAACAAGGAAAAAACTTGGTTAGGGCTTCAACTATGATATTGAAGGTATTTATATTGAGCATTACATGGTCAGGCTTCATAGATTCCAAGCTAACTTTTACTTTCTTAAAACCTTGATTTCATTTGTTGTGTTTTTGGTTCTTCACTGGTATAAATAGGATGATAACTAACTGTTCCCTATTGTAATTTTAATAGGATGGGCTTATACTTACATCTAAAAAGGAGAAAGCTGATCGTGTAGATTTATCATGGGACTTCTTAGGCATTCAAAACCTTGGCTCAAGTGCAATTTGGCTCAGTTTGTGTTGCTGATGGCGACTGACGAGTGAACTCATAGTTGTTTATGCTTAATGAAGTGAATTTCTGTTACATGTAATTGTTATAGCAAGTGTCAAAATAGAGAAATGTAACATAATAGTCTTCTTTTTAGCTACTAAGGCAAACTGTATATGCTGCCTGTGTGAAAAGGGTGCAAGTTTTCTCATACTATATGTATCTAGCTTTCTTTGACAAGTTTGTGATGATTTGAGGCCGTATATTAGATTTTGAAATGCTTGTCATGTTGTTGATGTGCATTAGTAATTGGCTTGTGTTATCTAACGAAGTCAATTTCTTTTTTAGTTTTCAAATTATATACATATTACAAATGCTTTATGGGCATTCATGGTAAATTGTCACGCGCGGTCCATGCCTCCTAGTATTAGGATAATGACCAGTAGGGGTGAAGTCTTTGCATTGAGATGATAAATTTTATGATTAAATATGTCATGAGTGTATTACCATTTTCTTTAGGCATCTATTGAAAACAATAGAAAACACAAGAAATCTATTTTTCCTTTACCTTGTTCATTGTTGTAGGCAATGGATTTTACATCAGAAACTATTTTTTTATTTAATTTGACCGATAATGAAAGATTAAGACCAAGTTGTCGTTGTTTCACACCCAAAAAAAAAAAGTCATTGTTTCAAAACAAGGATTAGATGCAGAAAATTATCGAATAAACTGATGTTATTAAAGCAATTTTTTTTCCCTTAAAGTAATTAGTGGAGACTATTGATATGTAATCTAAATAGAGAAATTGGACAAACTAGTCGTATGCTTAAAACATATATAATAATGAGAAAAAATGGAGTTTTTCTAGTGCAATGCCAAATGATGTTTAAGCAAAAATTATGTCTTATTCAACTCAACAAATTTTGAGATGACCATTTAATCATATTGTTTTTTAAAATAAGGTTGTAGTTTGAATTGGAAAAGAGAAAAAAATCAAAAGAAAAAAATGAGGGACTAAAGAAGGAAAATAATAAGTTAAAAACTTCACGATTTAATGCTGTTTGAAGTTGAGAAATATCTTTCTAAGCCATAATTAAGAAAATAGAATGATCACAATAAGTTCAAAGGAGAAATGCAATTTTGGTCCTATATGTTTGGCCTGTGTGCTAAGTATTGGTTCCTATTTCACTATTTTGATTTTCGTCAAATTTAGGACAATTAATGAACAATAATGCCTAAAGAAAAAAATAAAAGTGATGTTAGTTAAGAATATTAATTTTGCATTTTTGGTCTTTAGTATTTGGAGTTTGAATCATTATAGTCCCTTAATTTTAAAATAGTGATATTTAAGATTTTAGGATGAAATTTGATCTAAATTAGAATAGAATTCTATTAGTAATGTATAGAAGATCTAATAATGAATAATGAAAATCATCGAAAAGCAAAATAAGTATTAAACCTCTTTTTCTTCTATTTATTCATGCCATTAATTTCTCATTTTCTTTTTTCCTTTTGCATAGTTGGTCTCAATTTGGCATAATATATGTATTTACTCTTGCACTATGAATAATTAATTAATAATGAAATTTATCATTTTTTACTTACGTTGATAATTAAATACTATATCGAGTATCTTTTTAAAATACAAGGAATACATATTACATCAAAATTAAGTTGATCAGCTAATAGTCTTTTTATTTTTGCATTTATCAATTAAGCTTCAAATGAAATAGGTATGTTTATAAAATAGTCTAAAGTATTTAAAATTATCAATGCATAACAACTTTCATTAAGTATTTTAAAGCTTCATCAGCCGAAGAGATTTTAGAAAGACAAAAGAAAAAAGGAAGTTCTTTCACAAATGCCTAGATGTATTTCATAATGTTACTTACCTCCACTAGTTATTATAATTACAACTATTTGAAGTTTACATTGACAAACCATACAACAATTTAGGTAAATGGTAGTTAGAACTAATTTTTTTAACATTATATTAAAATTTGTTCCTTCTTTCACTAATGTTATATTATACATTATCAATGTATCATAATTCAATTTTAAGAAGTTAAAAAAATTGACTATAACTATTTGAAACTTAAGGTTCCATATTGATTGAAACACCATATTGAATTTAACTATTAACTATTGTGATTTTTCATTAGTTGTCATGAATTTGCCTAAAATCTGGAACTTTAATGATCACATTTGTTTTTGTCCAAAGATTAGGACTAATTTGACACACAAGTCAAACATTAAAGACCAAAATTGCATTTTTTTCACAAATTTAAAAAAGTTTTATAGGCCAAGCTGTATAACTAATGGTTACTGTACAAACCAACCTTAATTTTGTTGTTTAACCACCAAGTAGAATAGATGGAGAAGAAAGGTTTTAATTTTCAAATTTTCTTTTTGATCATGTGTGTGTTTCGCTTCAAATTTGAAATGACAACAAGAAGAGTGAGTGGCTTTTGTTGCCATCAAATTTGTTCTTCTAGTACAAAGCAGTACAGTGTAAGACTAGGGATAAATGACAGTGTAAGACTAGGGATAAAGGACACACTCAGTATGTGTGCAATTTAGAAATAAATGGTTTCTTATATAAACTTATTTTACATAGATTTTTTTATTTTTAAATATAACTCTGATGTTTTAAGTTTTTTTGTTCTTTAAGAGTATAATTATATTGGTATGTTTATGGGTAGTTATATTGGGAAGATATGCTTTGGTAGTTCAATAAAAATAAGTCATTTTCAAGGTAAAATTTAGAACTTTGTGAAGATAAAAATGAAAGTTTATAAAGTGATAAAAAGATGTTTACATCAAAACTAAAATCTCCTATATATATTATAAAATATCTGAATTCTAAACTTCGGTACATCACTGGTGGTTCTTTTTCCAACTTTTTAAGTGCTAAAGACAAATTCTTCATGTTTCATATTGCAAGTGATAAATCATTGGATAGAATCTTATAAAAATAATTTTATCAGGAACAAATAACACAAACATGCTTTTCTTGACACAAAAGAAGCATATTAACACGACTTACTAAACAAATTGATTGATCAAAAGAAGAAAAAAGTAGATCCAGTAGAACATTAGCTTGAAATAAGAATAAGAATATTAGAAAATAAAGTAGACAAATTAGAAGATTCTCAGGTTTACTATGCTTTGGGGGAATTAGGGTTTTGTGAGAACCCAAAAATTTTCACATTTTCTCAGCATTTTTTATTTCTTTGCCTACATTTTATACTTTCCTTGGAAATATTAAAATTTCTATGCATTTTTACAAGCAAGTACAGTTTTAAATTCATTTTCCTAGTATGAGTTAGTGTACGTTAATTTGAAATGCGTTATAGACATGGGACCCGCTAGTGCGATATAAGTTTGGTGACAAAGTGATTTTTGTGCTAAGTGTTATTATTATACAAGGTGCTAGAGGATAAGTAGAGGTTTGTTATATGATGTAACCATTGGAAGCCAAAGGATTAGAGAAAACACTAAAAGGGCCAAGTGTTGCAAACCCATTGGAGGCTGGATTTTGACCTAATTTTCACCTTTACTAAAAACCAAATTTTGACCCAAAATATCTTTATTTTTCTTGCTTCTTGGCCGACTTTCTTGAGGGGAGAAACAAGAGAGAGCTCTTCAATTTCTTGCTTCCAAACTTGCTCAAATCTTGAGTTGTAGCCAACCAAAATTGAAACTACACCAAACAAGTGCTTATTAAGGAAGGTTGAAGGAGTTGGTGGAGTGATTGTGGGAGGAAAGATACTAAACTACCATTTTTCTTGAGTTTCCAAGGTATTTTGCCAAGAACCTCCTCTTTACTTCAATTAATTGCTAATTAGAGGTTTAAAGTTTTTGTGATTGTGTCATCATATTAGCTTCCATTTCTCCAAGTGTGTGAAGAAAAGTTGCTGTTTTGTTTTCATTTTTGCTCACCTGCTGTTGTTTTATGCTGGTTCACTAAGCTGTTAAGAAGATTGCATTCCTCTGACTGCATTTTTGTTACTTGTTTGGATGTTAAAAATTCTGTGTTTTGTCACTTGGGTCAAAGTTTTAATGTGTGGTTGGGATTTTATGCAAAAAGAAGTTTACAAAAATGAAACTCAGAAGAAGATTGGCAAAGACCTGAGAAACTTTCGTTGCAGAAGAGCTTTCCTCGTATGCATGCATGGAAATTTTTGGAGTTTTCATTCTAACCCCTCAAGTCTCCCCTTGTTTCATTGTGGCCCAGTAAATTGAACAAACTAATCAATTGTATCCTTTTAATTTATTATTTTTCTTCTTTGATGTGCTTTAATGTGTTTTTGGATAGATTATGGGATGAAATTGGTGGGGGTTTAATAGTTTTTTTTTTGAAAGATTTATGATTTTGATTTGGATTTTTAGCGAAATTTTGGGATGAAATTTTCGGGTTGGATTTTGATTTGATTTGGTTTTTCCTTTTATGATTTTGATCCTTGATTGTTTTAATTTCTTGAACGTAGGTTGTTTACATGACTTAATTGATTCAATTTCATGTTTATTTTCATCTTTTATGGTTATTTGTTAATTAAAGCGATGCCTTGACCCTTTTCTTTGTTTTTTTGGAGGGTAAATAAGCAATTTCACTTCATTAGGGCCCCAACTCAAGGGAGGTACACCCTATCCCTTAGTTTCTTACTTTATTTGACCATATGTGTTTATGTGATTTATGTGGTCAATTGCATGCCTTTTGAATGTTTTCATTTTATTTATTTATCCACTTTATTTGTTTTAGTTACACCCTATCCCTTAGTTTCTTACTTTATTTGACCATATGTGTTTATGTGATTTATGTGGTCAATTGCATGCCTTTTGAATGTTTTCATTTTATTTATTTATCCACTTTATTTGTTTTAGTTATTTTCAATTTCGATCATTTGAAAGGCACTTGAATGCCAAAGTTGTAATAGCTAGGTTATTTTATTTATTTTATTTCGTTTCCTCTCTTAGATTGTAGTAGGCTTCCTCCCGAATGTAATAGTTAGGGCTTTATTTGCTTTATTTGCCTTATGTGTGTTTTGCATGTCTATGTGCTATGTGTTACCGCTTTCTTAGGGTCTTGTGTGACAGCCCCAC